AAAATAATACCACTTTATTGCGGCAAATTAGCTATGTGTCGCATTGAAAGTGCCGCAAATGGCCAATTCTATTGTAGTGATATATGCAGCAGCAGCAGCAATCAAGCGAAAATTTGGTGCCTAACGAAAGTAGTCCCATGGAACAATCTCAACAAGAACAACAAAGTAGATGAGCTAGTTGCAACCTACCCTGGCGTTTGAGATTTTAAAGGGAAACCTTTGGCTGAAGGATAGATAAAAGGAAATGAAATGAGAGTTTGAAGGAATCTTTAGATAATACAACATTCTATTGATATCCATCTTAAGGAAACTTTAGATAATACAACATTGTATTGATATCTATCATACTTTTGTCCTGCTCTACTTGACTTTGCGTTCTTCGGCACAAATCTAAGCTGCAAACTCTCATTCATTTAACTGTGACCACTCAAAATACACTTTGAACCGAATACACCCCTGGACCATATTTTCCAAACTAAAAAACTGGCATATATGTTTATGCAGAGCATTCTATTGATATCTATCTTACTTCTGTTCCCATCTACTCAATTCTGAGCTTTCTGATACAAATCTAAGTCGCATACTCTCATTCATTTAACTGTTTCCATTCAAAGTACACTTTGAACCAATCAAACTCCTGTACCATATTTTCCAAACTCAAAAGGTAGCAGAATTATATGTTTATGCGGGTAAGCCAATAGACACACTCTTCTTGACTATTGAATTACAATAATCACCTAGTCCTTTGATGACTTTCATGTGGTACATGTAGAGTGTCTCTTTATGCATGCCTGTATGGGATCAGCATTGTTATCCAAATAAGCCAAATCAAACGAAAAAGATTAAGAAAAGGGAGACTAGAGCTTACATAGATACGGTTTCCATACATTGGATATTTTAGTTCTTTCATATCTAATCAGATGCCTAATTCTTCATGTCTGGACATAAAGGGCAACTAAATGAGTAGCTGAAATTAGGCCCTGTAGCAGTTGAATTGGTATGAGATGACCAATAGTATACGTCATGCTAAACAGTTCTACACAGGCGCTTATGGGGGCTGTCATAAAACAAGAAGTTTTGAAGTGGTTCATTTTTTTGTTTTTTTTGTCGAAACGATAGGAAATTTCATTATCATAAAAACAAGTTACATGTACGAGCAACGGCTCGAGGAAACTGTACAAAAAGTTTTCAAAGAACACTGAGGAAAGTTCGTTCCTCATCCACAATTACGCTTAAAGCGTCTGCACTCAGTTTTCTACTATCTAACATATTTTCTTCCTTTTCCAACCCAAAAGAGCACATACAAAACAGTCCTTTCAGATTCAGAATATCCTCCAGCAATGTAGCCATCTTGCTATCTGATGGTTGTTGCTATGTTAGTTGTTTCCATAACTCTTTGTTACAAAAGTTGAGTCGTACCTTTCTCCACTGCTAGTGCACAGCTTTACACAAAACCAGTTTTAAAGCCAATGCTTCATCTAAAATTTTGCTCCCCAGGCTTCTCTCTTTCAGTACCCAGTCTGCAATTTTAGTGTTTGCTATTGTTCTTACTGTGACACCTATTCCAAGGCCATTCTGTTCTTGCTCCTTTGCTGTTGTCACTGCTAAAATTATAGCCCCTTCGTTTCCAGTGCTCTGGCTTTGTTGTTCATTTGCAGGGACTGTTTTTTCTGCAATCTTCCTATCTCCCTGTTGAAGCTCTCTACCTTGTTCCAGCCATTCTTTATGTGCACGGTCTACTATTCTCATTGGTGTTGATTTAGCTGAGCTCTCAAATTCCTTCTTATTCCTATCTTTCCATACCTGCCACAGTATATTTGCTGTCAGTCCAATATGATCCCTCCCTTCTGGTCTACTCCTTGCTTTTGAAATTCGCAGCCACCATCTCTTGAAATGTCCCTTCTGGTCTGTTGCTCCATCCCATTGAATGGGAGCTGATTTCCATATATCCATAGCATGGGAACAGTTGAACAGCAGATGTTCTATAGTTTCCTGTGCCTAACCACAAGTTGAGCATATAGGATCACCTATTCTTGTTCGTCTCCACACTGCCTCCTTGACTGGTAAGGCTCCTTGAATACACTTCTAGATGAAGTGTTTGATTTTATGCTTAACATTAAGCCTCCACATCTGAGTCATTTGTTGGCTTTCCTCTGAGATGCTTGATCCAGCTCCCTCCAATTTTCATCTCCTTTTGCTTCTACCCTTCTTTATCAGCATTTTATATCCTGAGTCAACTGTATACTCCCCTCCCACTTTTGGTTTCCAGTAGAAGCTATCTTCCCTCCCAGATAGGCTTAGGGGGATACGTAGGATCTTCTCAGCATCTTTGATAGGATGCATTTTAGTGGGTATTTTGGGCATTATTGCACAATGAATTGACTAAGTATTTTCATTAATTGGGTGGATTCTACTAATATTTTGTTTTGATGCTAATTGCAGGAATGGATGCTGAAAAGTGTTTAAATTCAGCTTTTAGAAGATTCATCGTACGTGGGGCCCGCGTGAGAAGCTGAAGAAAATTGTAATAGGCTTCATTTTATTTCAATTTAGAGAGTCTCGTTTTAATCTGTAAAATAACAATTCCCGAGGGAGGGGAAAATCAATTTTTACCGCCTGGCTTAGGTTCTCTTTGCGGCTATGCGTTTAAAAGGGAGATTGGCCGCAACTTTAAGGAAGGAGAGACAAGAGCCATAGTTGTTGACTTCGTATCTTTCTTGAGTTTCTCATTAGTCTGAACCGAATGAAAAAAACGAGCAAAGGGAAACTTTTTCTCGTATGTTTGTGAGAAAGCAATTGAGCCGCCATTATTGACTTTGCTTTTGGCTGTCCTACCTTGTGTGAATTGAATTGGAAAACAAAAAGCAATCTCTCGTATGTTTCCACTTAACAATTGGGAGAAGAAAACAAGAGCCACAACGGTTGACCTTGGTGATAGCTCTTCACTGGGCTTTGACCAGGATTGAAATAGGGCATCAGATCCTCTCTCACGCCTGCCTTGTGAGAGACAATTGAGAGCAATACAACCTCGTGCTTTTTCCTTCTGTGGTGGACCGAAGCGGGAGAATCGAGTTGCAAACCATTTCCAATTCTCCGCGCGTGGTTTGTCCTCCCTTAATGGAGGGCTAAACCCCTAATTCTAGTCAAGGGAGCAACTGATGAATTGGTTCAACTAATACTGTGAGATCTAAACCATTGTTAATTGTTTTCTTCAGTTATTGATATTTACATGTTCCTTGCTTTTAATCGCTATAGCCTTGTGTATGATTAGTTAGTGCGCAATAATTAATTATTCATATAGGCTATTTTGCTAACTAGAGGTAATTGAATCCGTAATTGTTCGTTATCTCTGTCTTTGTAGCAACTGGCGTAATTGAGTTTATGTCAGGGGAACATGTGATCTAGCTTAAATAAACCCTCGTAGCGTGTTTGTTAGCTAGGGTTGGGCCTTTCTAATTAATAATGCAATCTAAAAATTAAATCCTACGGTCGTACCTAGGGTTATTTTTGGGTTAGAGAAATAGCTAACGGTCGTACCTTAGCTATCGAGAAATTAAGGAAGGGTTGGTTGTTTATCGCGTGCATGACAACTATAACTAATCTATTACTAAATGTTGAAATTATTTCTGCATCAATGATCAGTGCATGAACCATTTCTGAAGTGTACCCTTGGCTAGAACTTCTCTTAATTATTTTTTTGAATTAATTACTTCCTGCATTTAATTTGTTTAATTGGCACTTAATCCCAAAATCCCCCATACTTTGAACTCTAAAAGAAACGAATTATCCCCAATCCCTGTGGATTCGACCCTACTCACCGCTATATACAAAATTTGTATTTTTCTCGAGGAGGTATTTATTATTGTACAGGTTGACACCCTGTCAATTTTTGGCGCCGTTGCCGGGGACTGGCATTTGATTTATTTGTTTCTTTTTTAATTCAGTTTTTTTTATTATTTATTATTATTATTATTATTATTATTTTTCCTTTATTTTTCTCTTGGTATTTTTGCTAGTTTATGCCCCATTCATCTCGTACAGGTGAGTTGGTATACGATCCTGAGGTTGAGAAGGCAGCGCGTAGGCGAAGGCAAGAGACCAAGAGACGAAAAGAAGGGCGCATATTTTCTACAAACGAGTCAACAGAAGACGAATTTAGCATGGCCAACACCCAGACATTAAGGGAGCTGGCTACCCCAGAGCTGACTCATCAGCCCTTGTGCATCACGTTCCCAACTCTGGCGGAGAATACCTCATTCGAGTTGAAATCGGGGTTGATTCACCTCCTACCTTCGTTCCATGGTCTTTCTGGTGAAGAACCCCACAAACATGTCAAGGAGTTCGAAGTAGTTTGCTCTAGCATGAAACCTCCCGGGGTCACTGAGGAGCAAATAAGACTTAGAGCTTTCCCATTCTCTCTCAAGGATGCAGCGAAGGATTGACTATACTACATACTTGCAGGTAGTATCACCACGTGGGCACAATTGAAAAAGAAATTCCTAGAAAAATATTTCCCCGCATCCCGGGTTGCTAGTTTAAGAAAGGAAATATACAGCATCAAGCAGTACTCCGGAGAGTCATTGTACGATTATTGGGAAAGGTTCAACAAATTGTGCACTAGATGCCCACAGCATCAGATTAGTGAACAACTGTTGATCCAGTACTTCTATGAGGGGCTGCAGTCAACTGGCAGGAGTATCATTGACGCTGCGAGTGGAGGAGCCCTGGCGAACAAGACACCGATGGAAGCGTGGGAACTTATTGAAGCCATGGCAGAGAACTCTCAGCAGTTCGGCTTCCGTGAGAGCAATCCTACCCGTAGAGTCAATGAGGTAGAGACGTCATCCATCCAGCAGCAACTGTCAGAGTTGACGTCTGCTGTCAGGTAATTGGCCATGAGAGACACGCCGTGAGCGAAAGTATGTGGAATCTGCACAAGTATGGACCACTGTACGGATACGTGCCCCATTCTGCAAGAGGACGGGGCGGAACAGGTAAATATGGCCGGAGGCGTGCCCGCGCCCCACAGGCAGTATGACCCGTATTCCAACACGTACAACCCGGGTTGGAGGGACCATCCCAATCTCAGTTATGGGAACAGGCAACAAAGTTCATTCCTGAATCGTCCACCAGGATTCCACCAGCCTTGGCAACCAAAATCTCAATCCTCATCCTCCAATTCAGGAAGCTCCTTGGAGGACCTAGTCAAAAGCCTAGCCACGACTACTACTCAGCTTCAACAGGAGATCAGATCCTTGGCAGCAAATACCGCGCAGCTCCAGCAGGACACCAAAGCGGAAAAGAAGGACCAAGAAGCTCGAATAAGCCAACTGGCAACTGCCATTAACCGCTTGGAGTCCCACGTTTACGGGAAACTGCCATCGCAACCCGAGGTAAATCCCAGGAATGTAAGTGCCATGACGCTGAGGAGTGGCAAGAAACTGGAAGGGCCTAAAGTGAAAAATTCAAAAAGCAAAAGTGAGGAGGAGATAGAAAAGGAAATTGAGGAGGAAGGACGTGTTCGTGAGAATCCTAAGGTAACCTCCACCCCTCCACTCACTACTAACTCTAACTTACCCCCTTTTCCTTGCAGGTTGGAAAAGACAAAGAAGGTAGAGAAGGAAAAAGAGCTCTTGGATGTGTTTCGAAAAGTGGAGATCAACATTCCCCTGTTGGATGCAATCAAACAGATACCGAAATATGCCAAGTTTTTAAAAGATTTGTGCACCCACAAAAGGAAGCTAAGGGGGGACGAAAGAGTAGCGGTGGGAGAAAACGTGTCAGCTATACTCCAAAGAAAACTCCCACCGAAATGTGGAGACCCAGGTATGTTCACCATTCCCTACAAGATAGGAGGTACTCCAATTAGGAAAGCAATGTTGGATTTGGGGGCGTCAATTAATGTTATGCCTAAGACAATCTATGCTTCTCTTAATCTTGGCCCATTAAAAGGCACATGCATTATAATCCAACTTGCAGACCGTACCAATGCTTATCCAGAGGGGTTAGTTGAAGATGTTTTGGTACAAGTCAATGAGTTAGTTTTTCCTGCAGATTTCTATGTCTTAGATATGGGAGATAAAAAGGCATTAAATCCGTCACCTATTTTGCTAGGTAGACCATTTTTAAGCATTGCTAGGACGAAAATAGATGTGAATGAGGGTACTTTGTCGATGGAGTTTGATGGTGAAATTGTAAATTTCAATATTTTTGATGCGATGAAATACCCGGATGAGGCTAACTCTGTTTTTGCTTTGAGCATTATTGAACCTCTTGTACAGGACACATTTGAATTGAATAGGGGCGATGCACTGGAAGTGGCATTGGCCAAACATCTCGAGTTGGGAGCAACTCTTGATGTAGAAATAAGTGATGAGCTATACCGTGCAGTTGAAGCATTGCATTCGCTCCCACCTCTCTCCCCAAGGTATGAGCTTACTTCTCTCTTTGTACCAGAAACTCAGGCAAAATTGTTGCCTTCTATTGTGCAGGCACCTGAGTTGGAGCTCAAGCCTCTCCCGAAGCACTTGAAGTATGCATTTCTCGGAGACAATGAGACGTTACCAGTAGAAGCTATCTTCCCTCCCAGATAGGCTTAGGGGGATACGTAGGATCTTCTCAGCATCTTCTTTGTTGAAGTTGCTGAATATGATATTCCTGTTCCATCTCTGCTGGCATATTAACTCATCCACCATTTCCAGCTCACAGTTACTTGTTCTACACATAGCTAGCTTCCCCGTGAGTGTCTCTGGTATCCATTTGTGGTCCTAGATTCTCGTGCTTCTACCATTTCCAATTCTCCTGATCAAGCCTTCATCTAGTAAACCTCTTGCTCCCATTAATCCTTGCCAAATCCATGATGCGTTCTTAGGAGGGGTGCATTGTAAAATGGATTCTTGAGGGAAATATTTAGCCTTTAAGACCTTACTAACAAGAAGGTTTGGCTTAGTTAGGAACCTCCATACCTGCTTACCCAGTAGAGCTTTATTGAAGGCTTCCAAATCCTTGAATCCAAGGCCATCTGCGTTTTTGTGAGCCACCATTTTGTCTCAAGATATCCAGTGCATTTTGTTTCTTCCCTTAGTTTCTCCCCACCAAAAATTAGACATCAAAGTGCTAATGTCTTTGCAAAGTTTTCTTGGCAGTTTGAAGCATGACATTACGTACGTAGGCATGGCCATTGCAACTGCCTTCAACATGACCTCTTTTCCAGCTAAGCTCAAGAATTTATTTTTCCAATTCTGAAGTCTTTTTTTTATACTTTCTCGTACAAAACCAAAAATCTGATCCTTCGTTCTGGAAATCATCATAGGGAGACCCAAATACTTCCCTTGCCTTGCTTCTATCATCCCTCCTAAATTTGACATATATGTCCTTTCTGTTCACATTCCATATTTTTGCTGAAGAAAACTGCAAATTTATCAAGGTTAATGAGCTGGCCTAAAGCTGTTTCATAGACTTTTAAAACTTTCATTATCTCAGCTGCCTCTTGCTTGTTAGCTTTACAAAAGATGAGTGAGTCATCTGTGAAGAAAAGATGAGTGAGTAGTGGACCTTGCCTGCTGATTTTTACCCCTGAGATCCTCTTGCTCTCTTCAGCTTTCCTTAGTAGATTGGAAAATCCCTCAAAACATATTAAGAACATGTATGGAGACAGTGGATCTCCTTGTCGAATGCCCCTTCCTGGTGAAACAAACCCTTTAGCTTCTCCATTACAATTGAAGGAATAATTGACTGTTGTCAGGCAGCTACTTATCCAATCAATCCATGTATCGCAGAAACCCATTTTTTCCATCATTGCCTGCAGAAAGTGCCACTCCACTCTATCATAAACTTTTATCATATCTAACTTGATTGCCATGCAGCCATCTTTCCCATACCTTTTGTTTTTTAGGTAATGCATGTACTCATGAGCAACAATTACATTATCTAATATTTGTCTATCTGGCATAAAGGCTGATTGGGTCTTGCTTATGCATTTGTCCAGGACAGTCTTTAACCAATTAGCCAAAATTTCAGAGATGATTTTGTAGAGCACATTACAAAGACTGATAGGCCTGAAATTCTTTAGGTTGGTGGGGTGCTGGATTTTTGGAATAAGGGATATAACCATATGGTTAATGGATTTAAGCATGAAGCCTGAGCTGAAAAAAGCTTGGATTGCTAAGATAATGTCCCTCTTGATGGTACTCCAAAATTTCTGAAAAAATAGTGGAGTCATCCCATCTTGACTTGGAGCTTTTTCAGGGTTCATGGAAAAGAGAGCATCTTGAATTTCTTTTTCCTCTACTGCTTTAGTCAGGTTTGCATTCATCTCCTGAGTGATGGAGTGTGGAATACCCTCTAGGATTTCAGACATGTCACCTCTCCCTCCGCTTCTAAACAACTCCTTAAAGTAAACAGAAATTTCATTCACTATCTCATCCTCATTCTTAGTCCAAGAACCATTACATCTCTGCAAATTTCTGATTCTATTACACACTCTCCTACCCTTGACATAGGTATGGAAGTACTTGGTGTTCTTATCCCCCTCCCGAAGCCAACTAATTCTAGCTTTTTGTCTCCAAAAGTTTTCTTCCTCCTTGCAGGCAGTGCTCAACTTATCTTTAATTTCAAACAGATTTTTCCTCCTAGTCACAGCCTCTGAATTCCTAGCTTCCTCCAAATCTTTCTTTAGAGCATTGATTTTACTCCTAGAGTTAGCTTGGAAAGAATTTCTCCACTTCAAGAGTTCAATTCTACAATTCCTAATCTTTCTAGTAACTTTGAACATCTTGGAACCTTGCTCTTCCTTATTCCAGGCTTTCTCAACCACTTGTTGCACACCATCCTTTTGAAGCCATCTCTTGTCAAAATAGAACCTTTTTTTTTCTTATCTGTTGTCGGGACAGTGTCTAGCATAAGCATGAAGTGGTCAGAAGCAAAAGTGTCGAAGTGTTAACATTTTGCCTCCTCAAAATCTTGGAACCAATCGACACTACAAAGGCACCTATCCAGACGTTGCCTGATTTCACTATCATCATTCCGGTGATTGCTCCACGTCCAAGGTTGACCTTCAAAACCAATATCTATTAAGTTATTATGATCAACGAAATCCCTAAAGTCCCTAAAACTCCTCTACTCTCTAGCTACTCCTCCCCACTTTTCCTCATTAGATAAAATGTCATTGAAGTCCCCAGCTATCAAATACCTCGCTCCTCATAACCTTTTCCTCCTACTAAGCACCCTCCATTGCTCCCTTCTTATCATCTGGTCACAATTGGCATATAAACCTACAAACCACCAAGTAATTTGAGTGTCACTGTCTTCAATTTTGGCCTCTATCATGAAGGCAGTAGTGTTCACTTCTAGAATGTGTATATCCTTAGTCCAAAACAAAGTCATGCCACCTGCTCTATTCATAGCTTCAACTACTACAGAATTATCAAACCTGAGACCCCTAGCTATCCTATCAAGCACTGGTTTCCTATTCTTAGTCTCACTTAAAAAAATCAAACTTGGAGAGGAGAGGTTATTCACCTCCCTCAGCTGGGGAACTGTCAAGGGGCTCCCCACTCCTTGTGCCCTTGACAGTTCCACACCATGACTCTCATTCTCCTTTGGGGGCCCCTTTAAGGAAGGACCCCTCCTCCTCTCCCCTCATATTAGTAGAGTACAGTTCCTCCATAGCTTTAGTTTTTTTTCCATTGAACTAGCGCAGAGTTGGCATCTTCCATCTCTTCATCCCTAATCAGGCACTTCCTCTTCCCAACCATCATCTGATTATCCCCTCTACCATTTAACTCCCTCAAAGGTTTCCTAGTTCTGGTTGGGGATTTCAACTTCCTAAAAGTTCTCTTGGCTTTCATATCTATCTCTGCCTCCACCCTTTCAGCACAATGGCTTTCCTGGCAAAGCACAAGAGTTCCTACTGACTCCTCCTTAGTTCCCAGTTCATGAATCTGAGTTTGGCTCAGTATCTCAACCTCTCTATCCTCCTCCATCTTATCAACCTCCTGTGGATCTTTACCTTCTTCTACAACCTGATGCACCAGAGATAAATTAGAGTTCCTTTCATCTGGGTTCAAACGTTTCTCCTGATTACCTTGAGGAACATCCTTACTATCTTTTACATATGTAGATGTGCCTGTATCTTTCACAATCCTATCATCTGCTCTATCCTTTCTTAGCTCCTGATTGCTATCACCTCCATTCACATTGGTCTTGAGCATTTCCAGCAGGCATTTAGCCAATGTAGACCTACCTCGTTCCTGCTCAATCAATTCTCCATTTCGACAGGACCAGTATCTTTTATCACTTAACACTTCAGGCCTATAAGATTTTTTCAGAGGTGAACTTTTATAATTCCCAGCTCTCATCCATGGACCATATTGGTTTTCTACATTACCTCCTCCTAGGACTCTCCTCTCCTTACAGGATCTCTCACTATGGCCAACTACACCACAGTTGTAGCAAAAATCAGGACACCGTTCGTACTTAAAAGCAATCCACTTAAGAACACCTGCAATCTTAACCACTGTGCCTCGAAGAAGAGGTTTAGACAAATCTACCTGAGCTAATATCTTCAAATGCCTACCCTCTTTCCCCCCAGATTGAGGCACTACCACCTCTCTGACTTCTTTGAACACTGATCCAACATTTTTTCCAACCTCTTTGGAAAGCCAGTTAATTGGCAAATTCCAGAGTTGCACCCAAAGAGGTGCTATCGTAAAGGCATTATAGTCTTCCTCTATCCCCTCTGTCCACTTTTTCAGCACTAACATTTGATTGTCAATCACCCAAGGCCTCCCATTGACAATCTTTTCCTTCTCATCAGCATTTGGGATATTAAATTGAAAAACATTAGGCCCCAGTTCCAACACAGTCATATTCCTCGGATATCCCCATGCCATAGCAACAAAACTTTTAACCCCTATAAAATTAGTCACTTTTTCTCCTATAACTCTGCCTATGAGACTATCTACGCATGCTCTCACACCATGTTGAAGGTCCTCCACCTCCAAAACAACTCCTAAGAGCTCATTCCTCTCCAAGGAGAATTTTTGTAGCAGTTCTGAAAGATATCCCTCCATGGACAGTCAGCCCTCGCTATATAGGCAAACCCCACTTCACACGCAGAGGGCACAGTCAAAAACAGGGTACAAGCAGGCCAATAACAACATAAAACAGAGAAACCAAAAGGAAACACTAAAGGATTTTACTGGTAAAGACCCAAAACAAACGAGAAAAAGTAAAAATTGCTCTGATCACAATTACCTTTAAGAGTACAAAGGAAAGATGGGAGCACAGAGCCGCATTATACCTGGCAAAAGCTTACTCAAGTTGTGGAGCTTGTGTCGCTTCAGCTACTTCTAACCATGCAAAACGTATCTCAGTGAGTTATTAGTATCGGTTGCATAATTTCTGACAGAGGTGATGAATCATCCATCTTAGAACTACCTATTGATAAAAAGCGGGATTATGTGTGTTTGAAACAGAGTGTTTGAAAAAGTTTAAGTTGTCTGCCTTTTCCCACCAAAAAGGTAAAGAAGCTCCTAACCCAAGAGAGAGCACATCTACTTAGAGTGAGAAACCCTCTACTTAGTGAGAGGAAATTGAATAGTTTTTTGAAGTGGTTCAAGTTGTAGCCACCATTTGTTTTCCCTGTTTGGATAGGACTAGAGCATTTCTGTCTGGCAAAAGTTAATCTTTCTTTACCATTTGTTTCCCCTGTTTGGATAGCCTAAAACAAATTAGGACCTGCAAACAATGATGAGATCATTAACTCCAACAAAGTAATATTGCTTATCGATTTATGATGTTCATGCATTCTTATAAGCAAATAATAGCTAAAGACTTCACATGAAAGATCTGACAATTCTAACACTATAGCTGATCGAATCGTTCACTTGAATCTATAGCTGATCGAATCGTTCACTTGAATAGATTCAAATGAAATGAAGTAATTCTGGTGGCAGGGAATTTTTCAAATGAGGAACAACGTGGTCTTAGTGGTTGAGACTATTTCATCTGAATATGTATCTCTGTGTGCATCATCAAATCTAAAGCCAGTCTGTTTGCTTTCTGAAGCAACGATTGGTGAAAACAACAGATAATTAAGCAAGGAGGTGCATGGTACCATAAAATACATAAACCAGGTTTACATGGAATGCAACCCAAGTCAAGTGAGGAACTGCATGATACCATAAAATGCACAAACAAGATATACAAGTAAGACAAGCAAAGTCATGTTTCAAATGTGTTCTTGCTGATAATACTCAGATTAATATTAACTTACAAGAGGTCCAATGATGCACTATAAATACATAATGAAATACTTTTTAGTTAAAAATTAAGGCACAACACCAAATTTCAGGTAATACACTTGGCAGTTTCCTTGAAAAAAAAAATAGAAGATGTCACATATAACTTGATCAATAATCAAGTACTCCACAGACAAAAGCAGATCCGTAATAGATTAAACACATGGCTAGAAGTTAAAAAGAAATCTCTTATCCTCGTGTAGTCTAAGAAATAAGTGCAAAAATTTCCGGCAACCTGAAATCTGGAGCTATATGCATAATTTTGCCAGTAAAAATTCTCCAATTCAAAAGTAAAAGAATATCAACCAAAACTTTTTGCAGATTAAGCAGCGAAAGACAATGTACCAACATGTGCAGATAGGATCTTAAATCATAAATCAGGAAATCAGACCATAAAGATCTAAAAGCTGACTGTAATTATAGAAGACAGAAAATCAATCACCACTATCAAGTAATGTTCAACAGATAATCATCAGCACCTTTTTTAACAGTTTCAAGCCCAGTGCACTGGTACCCCTTCAACAGCATTAGGCAAAACCAGGCTCTCAACATACACATTTACTTGTGAAAGAGCTCCCAAATTAGTAATTCGCAGATGCACGTGAGTATTATGTTTTGGATCGTAAAGGGCTAAAACTTCCCGAAATTTACACACAATTTCTCCTTCCTTTGATAGAAAAATAGCTTGCCCGGAAATCCCACCATTAGGGCCACTCAGATTAGGAATCGACAGCACTTTAGTCCAAGACTCTTTAACACCATACTTCTCCATCCTCCAAACATCCTTGCAACTGCCTCCATGATAACAAGACGAACATAGGTGCCCCCCTAAAACTTGTAAAGTCCACTCTGCTGAAGCCACTCTGTGTGCTGGCTTTTCCACCTCTCCAAATGTCTCACTCGACAAATCAAAAGTAAGAATTTACCGCCCATCATGACAGCTAGGAATGCGATTCCAGACCCAATAGAGCTTTCCATTCACAAAATTACCACATGCGTCAATACCATTCACCTTAATGTTACCTCAATCCTCCTCCACGAATCAGTTTTGAGACTATAAACCTCAACCCGAATTTTTTTACCCATAGCATCAGAAACTTTCACAAGGGAAATGGCAACTATTTTGTAATCATCATTAGACTCATCATATCCAAAACCATAACAACTAAACAAATGTACAACTTTTTACAAAACTTAGGCAACTGTTTCAATTTTCTAGTTGCTGGGTTCCATAAATACAGTTGCTTTCTAGGAATTTTAAGACACACCAAACCATTACAAGAGCCCACAATATAAGGCATACTACCGCGATCGAATCTCATGGGATGATCGATATTGGTTGGAGTTGTCTCGGCAGTGGCAGTGATGGCTGAACTCAATGCAGCACTAAAAGAGCAATTCTTGAAGGCATTATCAGCACTCAGTTAAAGCTTATGATGATTGTAATCATCGTTCTTTGATGATTTGTCAAGATGGGCTATGATGAACTGCTGGCTAGAGATTAAGGCAAACCAGGATTTTGAAACGCACCTGAACCTCAGGACGGACTTGACTGGAAGCCTCGTGAGGATGTCCTCAAGGACTTCATCAGGGACGAAATTGATGGTTGGGATTTCTTGGACTGGCTGCTTCTCCTGTAATTGGTTTGAATTAGGAGCAGAAGCAGAAGATTCTTCCATCTCCATTGTTGACAGGTGATTTTGTTGAAGCTTGATAGTCGGCTTTTGCTTTTGATTTGAGTTTGAGATTATTGCTGTGCAGAGCAAACATTACTGAGATTGGGTTTGAATCTTTGGACGAATTGAGAAGTACAGTCTACATATTCAACCAATTGAGTTTCAGATGCTAGAAATGTATACGGAGTCTAAATGAGTCGAGTCGAGTTGAGCTCAAAAAAAGAAATTCAAATGTACTTGAATATCTTATACAATTAATTTTATTTAATTTAATTAATCTATTTGTACTTGAATATCTTATACAATTTTATGACTTAAAAATTTTAATCAATTTAATTAACCTACCGAATGAGAAAATTACAAAAGGTTCTTAATTTTTTAAACAAAACAAAATCCTAAGCCATCAAGGTAGGCTAAATTTATATAGTTACTAAGAAAAATTGGGTATACTAGCCTAAATAAATGTATAAACGAGGCTAAACGAATTTAAACGAACTATTTGCGAGCTCAACTCAACTCACTTAGACAACGAACTTAATTTGATGTATGAACTCAGCTCATTTAGTTAAACGAACAAGCTGAACTTGAGCTTATACGAATCTAATAAAGTCGAGCTTATGAGTAGTTAGTCCATTTAACATCTCTAAATATAAGGTTGAAATCCCCAACCCCCCTTTTTTAACTTTTGAGAAGTGATATTTGCACTACTATTTTTGTCTCTCACATTCCAATTCAAAAACTAATTTGAAAATGCTAATATCAATTTTAATTTTGGTTTGGTTGCCGTTTCCAAACTAGGCACTACTTTGCCTTTTAACTTTTCAGTTTTCAAATAGGCATTTAGCCCTACATTTAAAGTTCTTCGACAAAAAGGGCATTGTTTATATCCAACATTCATTCTTCATTTTTTTTTCTTTTTTTTTATTTGTCTTTGTTATTTTCATTACTCCTTCCTTTTGTCATCCACTTGTAGTGCTGTATTTCAATATGAATGTTTATATATATAAAAGATGTGTCGAATGGATTGAATATTTATTTATCTTTAACACTAACATATTACATTCCCTTTTCCTCGATCTTTATGATCTCCTTCACTCACTTAAACACTGAAATTGTTTTATGCTATTCCAAATTTCCAACCTATATATGGATATATAATTTAGAGCCAAACATTGTGATAATTGAAGAAAATGTAGAGAGATATGACATACAAGCTTTGCTTCTTTTTATTTATTTATTTTTTGGTAGAGTGATACCCAAAAAACAATAAAAAGAGGCTAAGTCTTGTTTGCTGTACTTATGATTGACGAGTTTAGTGGAATAAAAATGTATAAAATGGAAAGGGAAGAAAGGAAAATGAACTGACTCTAAAATTTAAGTTACGTGGGTATTTTGGTCAATGAACGTGAAATAGTGGTTTAAATGCCAATTGAAATGTTGCAAGGGCCAAAGTTCAACTCCTCCACAATTTCCAAGGACTTTAGTCCAATTAACCAAAACATGGGTCCAAGATCAATCTCGCAACTTGATTTGGGCTATAAGCAGTGTTGATCCGGATAACCAAAATCGATCCGGATCATATTCAGAATCGCAAATTGTATTAATCTACGTAGGATTGAGTAGGATCGTGTAGGATCGTACGATCCCACGATCCTACCTCGATCTTACAATTTTTTGCAAATTTGTGAAATACGAGAATCCATTTTGCAAGTAAATGAAAACATTTGTGGTAGGTTCGTAATTTATCAAAGAATTGCAGTCTTTAATTACAATTTTTTAACAATTTTTGCTTCAAAAATTCAAAAAAAACTCCTATTCTTCTCCTCTACTCAGTCCTCAGTCCTCTGTCATTGACTCATTTATTCATTCTTTACTTCATCCTTCACTTTTCAGTTTTCACTTCTTCTCCACCGCTGTAGCTCCAACCAACAAGATGATATCGCTACGGCTTTTACCAAATACCAAGTACCAACATTTGAACAATGGGAAGAATTTGATTCAAATTCTACACAGGTTTGCACTTACTATTCTGGCTTTGAATGTCCTAATTTGACACCATTTTCTTTCTTCTTCTTTTTTGTTTTTGTTTTTGGATCTTTTCAATTGTCCGATTGGATCTTTTCAGTTTCAACAACATGATTTTGATTTGTCTACCTCTTTATAACGTTGATTTGTCTAAATGTCATCAAGTGAAATTTGCAGTTACCAAACACAGAGTGCTTCAACTCACATAGATTATTATTTTGTTTCCTACTTGTTAAAAATTCTGTTGTTTCAATTTATAAGTAGACATTTTTTTATTATGTTGATCTTATTTTTGATATTGTAGCCTTTGTGGATCGCCAGCCAGGCTTCTTATCCCACTGCTTAGAATAGTTTAAATGTTGACAGATGACATTTTAGTAGTTAATTTTGATCTTGAAAATCTTGGATTTGGATGTTTGGCTTTTTAGTATTTGTGGAGGTTGATGATTATTTTATATTTGAAATTATGATTGTGTAAACTGTAAAGCATTTGGTTTTAAGACTTGAAATTATGACAAATAACTGTTTATGTTCTCTTTTTTATTACTTGTCAGACAATAAATAAAAAATGTTATATATTTATGAGTAACTTATTTATTTGATATCTTTTAGGATGTACAAAATGGTATATGAATCTCAAATTCATTAATTTAGTAAATTTAGGAGCTTTTGGTGGGATCTTACGATCCTACGATTCGATTCTATGAAACTAAAATCGATCCTATGTAGGATCCCAATTTTACAAACCTTGGGGGTAAGCCATGAAAATTCGGGGCAAGTAACAACCCTTTTGCCTGAAGTCCAAAACTAAACACACACTTGTACTATTCCAAACTTGGGGGAAGTATAATTAATTAATTATAGTTATTAGATGCAATTACATCCAATTTTTGTACTTCATCAAAATTTGATGAACAAATACAAAAAAAGTGTATTTATTTAAGATTTGGTCTATAAGAACAAAATTTATGCCGAATATGTGGTAATATAAGCATATATCAAATCATGAGCCCATGATAGATATAACAACCATATACACCAAAATAGTCGCGTTAAAACTCTTAACCCACTCCAAATTTTTTTTCCACTTGAAACAGAAGAGAGAAGATATGTAGCATGTAAAAACTAGGTTCAAGCTGTTGAAATTGCAAGTCCAATAGAAGATATGTACTACAATAAATTGACAATTTTGTACAACTATATACTACATAGATTCTACCAATCCCTGGAGCCTCTCCCGAAAAAAAATGCAGTAAAACATGCAATAACTAATGGTCCAATGGAAAGTTAAACCACTTTTCTTTGAATGTAAAGTTTTTGGTAAAATCCCATCAGATATTTAGATGGCAAAAACTAAACCACATTATACCTGGTTAATAAAATCTCACAACATTATTCTAACTAAGATGAATAACTGGTAACAGAAAGGTATAGCTATTGCCAGATAAAGATAGTGGTACCATTATGAACATTTTGCCTCATCATTACTCACTATAATAGGGGTACTTTCAAGCATAATCAAAAATAGCAGCAACTAATACTAATCCTTGAGCTGCTGCAACAAAGTTTTACATACTGGCCCAAAATAAGTTCGCCAAACTTTGCTGTTGACGTTGAAGTCAAGTAGAACGGTTTACCAAAGTTGCATCCATTTTAATCCCTTTTGCCTTCTGCAATCCTGCTTCATAAACAGAGGAAAAGACTGTTTGAATAATGTTATTAAATTGTTGTCAATTATAGTAACATTTATGCTTTTGCAACAAATATAATATCTGTCGTATCTCCTTGGGTAGTCAACTCTGGTAGCTCGTGTAACTGGTAGATTGAACACTGATTGGAGAGGAATCTCTATGAGAACAGAATCCTAGTTGGGCTAATTATCTTGACCTATAACATTATGGTGCAAGTTCTCAATATTTTTCCTAACATGGGCGTTGATGAAATTAGGAATTGAGATTAACACTAGCCAACATTTCGACACACACTTCAACCTCAACAGGGTTTTAACTGGAAGGCTCGAGAGGATTTCAATCAAGAGATCATCAGGCAGGTAGTCTCGGTTTGGAGTAAGTAGATGATCATCAAGCATGTTCGTTGAAATATTTGATAACTTGTCCGAGACTTGGTTAAAAGTAGAAATCATGAGAAGATGATTGTCTGAATTAGAGGAAAAGGTGCTCTGCAGATGATCTTTATAGGTGGTTTTCTGACGTTTTCTGCTTGGTATTTGTCCCATGGTGCTAAAGTCATATGTGATTCGGTACTGCTGTGAGGAAGAGCAGATAAATGTTTAATGTAACCAAGAAGATAAGATCTTGGGTTAAGTAGAATTTCTTATCCTTCAGGGCATACCTATTTTATATGAACTCTTTCCTGGTATATGCATCAGAAATCAGAATTTGTGATGGTATATAATACTAAGGGACATGCATCAGATAGTAATAACAGTAATAACAGTCCGTGTACAACTAAAGTTCTCCACCACTTTTTTAGCTTGAAAAAGTGTTGAATAATGTGCTGAATCAATTAGCTTGATTAATGAGATAGTTGGAATGTTCTCTATGTATCTAGAATGTTGGAATGCTCTCTAGATAATTGGAATGTTCTCTAGAATGATGGAAATTAAGAGAGTTGTTGTGTGGCTGGAATACTTCCCTATGTGTCTAGAATGATCATTTACAAGTATAAAAAGACCTTGTAAACTCCAAACCACTGTAAGAGAGAGTGAAAGAAATAAAAGAAAGAAACAATTGAAGCTACCTTGTCTCCAAATATTCCTCTCAATTCTTGGCCTAATATATCCAACAAAAAGATTAGGGCTTCTTTACTTTTGTGTTTCCTCCAATGTCCTCCCCAACAATTTTTTCTAATAACAAAAAAAAAAGGGTAAGCTATTCCATGATGTTTTTATTTACTTTAGTTTGTGTTTAAAAAAGAATAAATCAAGCAAATATATCCTTCAAAACATCACTTTGGATCAACTT